CATTCCTTAGATATTATAGAAGTAGTGTCATCAAAGAATAGAAAGTCAAGAAAGGGAGGAGTGTTTCAGAAATTATGGTTTTGACCATTTGGCAATTTAGTGCACATCAACTATCATGGTCTAACTTCTAACTTAATGTTATTCTCATCTAACAGAGTGCAGTTCTTTTATAGGTACATGAGGCTGATGATGACCCATTTGTCCACCTAAAAGTTATATTTTTTTTTAAGATTAAGTGAAACTCAATAGCTGTTGTGAAGAGAAAAAAAATTTTTTTTTTTTTTAATTGGGTAAAAGCAGAAGTGACCTAAAGAGGGTATAAATAGCCCTAGGAATCCCAACATTTAAATTACGTAGTTGATTTCATTTATTCTGTTTCACAGTCTTGTCCTGTAATTCTCCAACTGATGCAGGCACTTGCATGTGAAGGGAGAACTTCTATCTGCCCACTTTGAAACCCACAGACCTTGAGGTGCTTGCTATTTTCTTTGCTCTTTAAATACTGACTAGGCATGTACACACTGACTCTGAAAGCAGGATTTTGACTCACAGAGAGTATAAATTTAATCTGGCCTCGGTGGAGATAATGAATGTTCAGTGAAAGTTACGCCCACCATCTGGGACTGAATCAAGCTGTAACACCACTGGCATTGGGACAGTTATGTAAGGAGTTTAAGTTTGTGTACATGGTGATGGATGTGTAGGCGGCGTTATCCATGGTCTTCAGAGGCCCAGTTGTACTTCCATTGAATTTAGATGAGGCTTTTTCCCCGCTGTGGTAAGAGGGAAGATTTAGACCCTTTTTAGCAACAAACTTAAGTTCCCCACTTTAACTTTTGGGTGAAAACTGTTTTGTTTCTTTAATTTTTGTTTGTTTGGGCTTTCATGGGGTTTGTTTGGTTGGGTTTCTTTTTCAGTAAGTGTATGTAATACAATGTGTACTCAGTCCAGTTTCTTGATTCTATAATGAAACCTCTCATTATCATTATGACCGTATTTAAATATAAAAAAAAAAATCTACAGATATGTCTTAGGAGCTTTCAGGTACAAGTGAACAGTCAAGAATATGAAACAAAGGTAGCTAATAATGAAAATGGCTTATTTTGGGTGTAACAGTTTAAAAACTTGGAAGAAGGAAAACCCAGACACCCTCTTCATGAAACTCTTGCTAGAACACTTTCCAGTCTCACTTTAAGCTCTCACATTGCCCACATTTTGTGAGTGCCTCAGTGAATTTTCAGGAGTGAATAGTCGGTATTTACTGCACAGCTTCCAAAGCGTGCTTTGGTATATATTTTTTTTTGTTCAAATGCCCATTTATAAACATCACTGACCATCTTTCCTTATGAAATGTTTATTAATATTGCCTTTGAAATTATTGGCAAATTTGTTTTTTCATGATAATCAGTCACTTCCAATGTACAAGCTAAAGCATCTAACATAATTCACTTTAGTGGAGGCAATTATGTTGATTGCAAAATCCATCAGAATACACTGGCTCTAAAAATAAGAGTGTATGTAGCAGTCCATATTTAGCAAATAGAGGTTATTAATCAGCCCCTGTTCCTTGCATATCATTCAACCATATGTTTAGCATTTTTCAGCACCCTTGTCAAGGGGTGGCAAGAGCAGGCAGCTCTGCAAGGGAAGGTGAGCAAGAATGAAGGCTGCCAGCAGTGCAGGCAGGAGCGGTGTCCTCACCAACAAAGTCTGAATTGTCCAGGAAGGTCCAAAGTCAAGCCAGGAAGCCAGGGCAGCATTGATAAATTACAGGGCTGGTTAGACCGGTATCTACAACGTAACTCTAGCTGGGACCAGGGAAGATAGCTGGGCTTAAGCACAGCTCCTGGGCACAGGAGGCCTCAGTGGAGACCCCTGGTTGGGATGCTCAGGGCAGTTAGAGGTCCTTGATGTACTGAGGGCTCATTACTCTTCTTTGAGAGGGAAACCGACTGACATCCTCCCCAGATGCGCAAGGTCAGGCTACTGAACACACGCAGTTATTTCACATATGTTTTGGTGTGGAAATGGGATAGTACTTGCAAAAGGTGGAAGTATCTGTATTTCAGATCTTATTGCTTTAAAAGCTGCAAGAATAAAACTTCATTTCTTTGTGCCTTCAAATGTTCTGGCTGAAAATGAGAATGATTTTCACATTCTTGCTTTCCCACATGCTGATGAATTTTGTTACAAGCAAGCCAAAGAATATGATAACAGGAGTGTGAACTGGTGAACTCCAATTCCTGAGCTGCTGCCAGCAGCTCTTAAATAGATCTTCAACCATGAGCTTCTATAATAAGGGTGTAATAGTTAGCACATAGCATTGGGAGTAGATTGAGTCAAAGAGTAGGAATGACCTTCAGGGCTATTTTCTTCTACACTAGTTGGTATGTTGTGTTTCCCGGATAGCTAAAACTTGCATGGGTAGATTCTGCCTTACCCACACTGGCACATGGAAACATTTCTGACATGAAGAAACTATGATACAGTTATTATAACCTTTAGTCTCCTGAAGGGGAGAGGATCTGGATATTTCAGGGAAAAAGTGGTCTGAGGGACAAACGTGACTTTTTGAGTCTTGGCTAAAATATGCTCATTATGAATAACAAACATTTGTGCACGGACTATTTCCGATGGAGTTGGAGCAAAAAGGGTCATTAAAAGAACCCTGCAGGGAAAATACTGCAGTAGAGTCGCACAATGAAGATAAAAGTTTTCTTAGACACAGTATTAGATTAATAGTGTTGCAAGCTAATTCCTCTCTCCTGCTCCTGGTGATCCAGTGGGTTTTTTTGCCAGTGTTGAGAACTCTGTGATCTGAAGATGCTTTTTTTGTTAAAACCTATTCTGACAGGTTGTTGTTTTTTTTTTTAGAAAAAAAAAACAAAACACACAAGCCCCCCAAAACCCACCAAAACCCTACAGCAACAATTTTTGTTGGCGGTAGCAGGAGATGCTAATCCCACAGTAAACTCAAGGAACTGCTAAACTAACAGTGCCTATACAGGGACCATGAGAATGTGATTGACAAGGGTTTAATTAAGTTCAGAGAACAGGGAGTTTATTTTGTTTGTTTTCAGATGGTATCAGACTGGTTATACTAGACAAAATTTGACCCCTACAATTCCCAGAACTGTCCACATATTTCTGTTAAATATGTATTCTAGTGCTAGTATTTTCAACTGGTTTAGGGACTTTTTTCACTTGTTCAATGAAATAACCTGTTTTCAAGGAAAAGAGAGGAAAAATCTTCACTGTGAAAGGAGTTAAATGACCAAGGCTATCCCTCTCTTCAGTATTCTCTGAACACTGTATTGATTGTGGATGCAGCCTAGGTACAAAGGGTCCAGAATTCATCCCATCATCTTTTGGTGACATTTCAGCATGCATGCCAATGCATTAGTATAAATGTATACTAATATTACAATGCATGGACATTGAGGCTATAGAAACTGCTTGTCTGTTATACTTGGTATGTGAATGGATTTGTAGCTGTATTTGTAGATTTTTTAGACACAGAAATTCCTTTGGAACCAGAGGGGATATGAGAATGCCAGGAATAGAGAAAAATCATGGCTTCTTATGGGAGTGAAAAGTGAAGAAGTATGAAAGAAAAAAGACCAGCTAACACACACAAAATGAGAGAGAAAAAAAAGACATAAACATAAAATTTCATTTTACAAGGACACCTGTAACTGCAGCTGGAGTTATTAGAAATGCTTGTCGTCAGTTCCACTGAAATAACAGCCACTGGAGGGGGGTTGCATGTATTTGCAGGTGACTTGTTTCCATGGAGTTGTAAAATATAATTGTTTTGACTACTTTAAAAGTCAAAGCTATGTATATGTAAGATGAGCACCTCCTTCTTCCTAGTGATTGAAAGAGTTAGGTTCCTATGTGAAGTTTTTTCTCTTTGCTCCTGTATTGACAAGCTGGCAGTCAGGAAACAGGAACGTTCCTAACCACAACCAATAAATATGGGCTCTTTTTGCTGACAGTAGACATCATGGATAAGTTAAAGTTTGCTTACCTGCACTGATCAAAAGATTCCTCCATCTGACACATCAGAAGGTGCTCTGAAGTAATGAAGTGGGTAAATATGACATCATAAAGAACTGCACCAAACTCATTGTCTTACTGGTGGGGGAAGCTGTATGAATAGAGTTGATGTGAAGTATTTGTTGCTAAAGTCTGCTGGAAATGTACCTCATTCAAGGGTAATGGAGTGCATAAAGATTTTAGGATCAAGCAACATAATGTAAACCACTGTGCTGTCTATGTAGTCTCAGATTTCATTTTCATTCCTGAATCTTTTCAGTATTTAGCTGTCAGTATTCTATTTTATTAGTTAAAATTTTGTTCTCTCTGGGTGAGGTGAAGGCAAAACAGCTCTCCTGAAGGATTTTGGATCCAGAAAATAATATTTTTTCTCATTATATTTCATACATGATACACATTTTCATTTCTTATTCTCACATTATTTTCTATTTTAAATATTTGTTGTCACAGACTAATCTACATGAGAATTGAGTTTTATCTGGAATGAACTTTTAGCTAAAATCTTAGGTTGAAATTTTGTGATTTCCAAATATAAAGTAACAATAAGTAAAACCAGGTATGAACATTCTTAAAAAATATTTGACTGATATAGCAGCAGCTCTTTATCAATCTCTTACGCATTGTGAGTTATAAATACAGAGTTTAAAAAATGTTTTTACCGTTTCTTTTAATGTGCCAGTTCCCTAGCCATTAAACAACTTCATCCCAAGTATCTCATAGTTTGTATACGATGTCTGTTGCATAAAGCAGATTCATTATTTATTCATTATTTAATGAATCTCTGTATCTGACCCATCAGGTTAGTTGCAATACTTTTTAGAATAGAGGGAGAAATCAAAACAAAAATTGTTAGCAGTAAACTAGAGATGGAGCCTCTAGGTTTCTGGTCTGCTGTGTTTATGAGATAGTAGCAAATTCTGTGTTCTTTCATTCCGTTCCAGCTGTTTACCTCTGCAAGCGGACAATGCAAAACAAAGCAAGGCTGGAGCTAGCAGACTATGAAGCTGTAAGTACCTGATGAAAAGTGAATTTCTTTGCTGAGACTAATAAGCATGTGAAATAATGTTAAGAACTATAGACATTATGTGTGAAGTTTATTTGGGGTTTTGACACTTTTGCCAGCCTGTGGGTGATAGATGCTGTTTGAGGGACTCTAGTGAGGGCTGAGTGGGCAAAAGTTGAGATTTTGGTTCATCTTTAATGTTACTCTGTTCAGATCACCATGACAAAATCAGAAATAACTGTTCATGAACCCAGATATGCCACATGTGTTTGAAAGTAGTTGTACTCTGACTGTGTAAGGTCTGAATGAAGGATCCCTGGCAGCATTTTCAAAAGCACTTAGTGGTTGTAGAAGTATGAGTCTCATTCTTTAAAGTGATGCTGGGGCTTAAACCCTTGTCCCATCGGTTAAATGAGAGGCAACGAGGGTGAGATTAGAGGCAATTCCCATTCCCTGAACTTTTGCTGTGCCCCAGGCAGGTGAGATAATTTGGGCCAGGAAGAACCTGAAAATGTGAGAGTTTGATTAGCTGATGGGGATGGCACTTGCTAAGGAGAGAGATGTCTTGAGTTTCATCTCTAACCCCCCAAAAGTTCCTGAATTTTTTATGAAAATGTCAACATAAGATTCACGAACAGCCCAGGCTCTGTGGTGAATGCTGTCCAGCTGTGCTGCTGTGACATGATAACACCATAGTCAGCCAGGCCTCTCAACATGCTAAATACTCCAGCCGCAGCACCCTGCTGGCACACTTTATTGCTTCTTCTTGGCACAAGCTTGCTTTTCAGTGTACTGCACTGTGGGGTATCCACAATTGTATACTTACGTGTCTTGGAAAATTCACCACCAGTATGCAATCCATGAGAGCCTTTACTGCTATTGACAAGATCTCTAGAAAATGTCTCCACTCTCTGTGGTCTTTATTTTCAGTAAATATGCCATAGAGGTACATTTGCAATGTATACAAATACAGTTGAAGCAACACTTTTTGTTAGGATATTTACGGATAATTTTTCACTTAGTCTCAGTAAAAGCAGTGCAGAAAGGGAACTGGGGGTCTTTTTGGGGGAAGATAACCTCAGCCTTCTCCATGCTAACAGACTGCGTACTGCTACCATTTAAGCTGTGGGGAGATTGAAGAAGCTTTGTTACAGACAGTGAGGCTGTTCCAGCATCACTGAAGGAAAGAATTTTGCTAAGATTTTACAAATCTTCCTCCTGTTATTAACAGTAGGCTGCAGGTTACATTCATTTCTTGTGCAGTAGTGGAAAACTATAGTCTGCGTGTTTTTAAAAATGGGGATAGCTGTGGAGGTCATGGAAGGTTCCTGTACTACCAAAATATTGATAGCTTCTTATGTTTGTATTTGAAGTAAATTGATAGGCAGCCAATGTTGTTCAGTAGAACCGTTTGTATAGGTAACTGACGGGAATTGCCCTGTGGATTTTGTCCTGGGTTTTCTCCTGCTGTTATTAGATACTTTCAAAACAAGAATGTTTCTTTGTATTGTTACAAAATTACTCAACCACCACCCAGTAAATAAAAATGCGTCAGAAATTCACTGTTATGCTGATGGTTGCATCCAACCTTATCGCCAGTTTCAAAACTAAAATAGTCGGGGCATGCAAAAGTAGATAGATCTAGTATTCCATCCTATTTGGTGTCAAGCAAGCACTTTGTATTTGATAAGTAAGGTCCATTTGCATTTGAGGAGAAATCGTGACTTAAATTGCACCTTAGAGGGAAGAGGGAAGGATAACCTAAAAGCTCTAAAATAGTAAATAACTTTCAACCTAACCAACTAAAACTGTGATGTATTTTTCAGGAGAGTTTGGCCAGGCTACAGCGAGCATTTGCTCGGAAATGGGAGTTTATTTTTATGCAAGCTGAAGCACAAGCAAAGTAAGTTCCTTTGAAGTGAAGATGAAGAATTTTGGGTTTGCATGCCTTTTGAGGGGGAAAGGGAGGGAAAAGCAGTTGGACACTTCTTACTTTCAAAATTACTGTCATTAGCACTGTTTCTTTTAAATATTCCTGTAACATTGACAGAGTTGACAAGAAGAGAGACAAGATAGAGAGGAAGATCCTTGACAGCCAGGAGCGAGCATTCTGGGATGTGCACCGTCCGGTGGTGAGTGAGGGTGGGGCTGCTCTGCCTGTGAGCAGGGCCACTGATAAATGTGAGCCTCTGTGGAGCATTGGGGTAGCCTGGAAACAAGTTTTTCGTGTAGGGCTGAGGGTTGGGGCTTGCCTCCCTTTTTGCAGCATCTGGCGTTTTTACCATTCTGCTACTGAAGACTGCAACTGTGTGTACTCTCCGTTTGGAGTTTGCAGTGAATAGATTTGTTGTGTCTGATTTCTTGAATCAGAAGGTATCTGTCTTTGACTATTACCATCTCAAAGGTTTCCCAAGGTGTGAGTCAGCATAGCTAAAACACTTTAAAAAACATCTGCCTTTTTTTAACCTGCTTTTTTTGCTTGCCAAGCCTTTCAACTTCACTCTGGTCGTATTTTCAATTGATTTTTGAGGTACATAAAAGTTAGATGATGTTGGATTTGAGCTACGGGAGTCATGCACTGTCTAAACAAGATTTGCCCGAGTTCCTTGTCAAAGTCCCTCTGAAACAAAATATTAAAAAAAGAAAGGGTTTTACATAATCAACTGCCTTTGGGAGCTAAAACTCTGAAGAAGAACGTCAAATGTCACAAGACTTCCACAAGAACTCGGTAATCACACTTTTCTGCTTTACTACAGAATTACTTCTGTTTCTCTTAACTAGAATTGAGTTTTCATTTTCTGTGCAGAGAGTTTAGTATTGTTAACAGTGAAACCATTTATGGATTATATTTTCCATGGTGACATTGGGAAAAGACACTTAACGAAAACTAACTGTTCTGGGAAAGTGATGATACCTGTAGAAAAGATGCATACACTGAAAAATTTCAAACAAAAATAAGCTTGGACATGAACAGCTTGTATTTGTGACAGTGGAATTTAAAGAGCAGCAGAAGAAACGAATCTTTAGGCAGGATTTAGAATGTCAGGTAGATAAAGTCATTTGAAGTGAAAGATTAAAACCTCAGGCATTAGATGCAAGAAGGCTGGGACATTGTTGTCTAGTCAGTGGCATAAAATAGGGAAGGAGGACAGAAAACAATTTGCCATCTGATGTTGATGGAAGCTACATATAGAATAAAACCATAAAGTTTCTATGGACCTGGGAACTTTAAAGGTGCAGACAGCTTTTATATTCCCTGCAGAAATGAATCTGAAGGTTTTGAATCTGAGAATGAGATGCTATTTCCAGGTTTGGAACAGAAGATGAATTACTGAAGTTTCAAATTAAGATATTGGCAGACAATAATGAGAGAATTAAAGGGGAACAGGACAAAAGAAAATCAAATCTGATTAAGAGCTTTCATTGAACTGTGGATATATCTTCCTGAGCACGTGTTTTAATCTGGCTGTAGGCATAGCTAGGAAATATCAGAGGCAAAAGACTGGCTTAGAGTCAGCAATGTAGGCTCTTGACTTTAGGAGATATAAATAGAAGAATGTAGAGGTTCATACTTTGCCTAAGCAGCTCCTCTCACTAGTTAGTGAAATACTTGTTTTGACAACATTGTTAAGAATTTACTGTCACAGTAAAAGCTAGAACCTTCTTTAAAAAAAATAAAAGGAACAAACTGAAAAGAGGAAGGTGATGCTAGAGGTAATTACAATTTCTAATGGTTTTTCAAGCCCCCCAAAACTCATAGAAATGTTGCTTTTGAGAGGAAGTTAAGAGAACAGTTTTGATAACTCACTGATCAGTTTCCATTCCAATATTTTTAATTGCAGGTTCACTATATATTTAGTTCTTCTTCCTTTGGTGTCTTTTTTAGTGTAATGTGAAGTGTAATCTTAGTTCTGTAATTTTCAGTTTCTGCTTTATGTAGAAAGATCTTAGCTTGCAGCTAGAAAGAGCATGACTCAGCTTCAACTGTAGGTACTGCAGCCTGCAGAGACATTCCTGAACAACTTTTAATCTTACTAGTTCAGACTAGTCATAGTAAAACCATGGAAATGTGTGTCAGGGAGTGCTGTACAAATTCCTGAGATCCTGAGCAGCAGACCTGTGATAAAGTCCATGTCATTATTTCTAAGGTATAGCCAGTACCTAACACAACCCTGAGATTATCCACATACATTCACATACATTCACATACGTTCGTGCATTTCCCTTTTTGATGGCAGAATAAACATGGCTTATAAGCCTTCCTTTTCCTTCCACCTGCCTAGGAAGTGTATAACTTTCACAATTTTGAAACTTTGTATCAATAACTGAGTATGGAAATGGATGAAAATTGGTTGGGAGGATAAGGGCATTAGTCAAAAAGCAGTAACAAATTGGGCTAATGTGGGGAAGTCAGTTCCTTCCAGGCAAAAGACATTAAGAAGCTGCTCTTGTTTGAAAAGAAATGTCATGTTCCTGATTGAAGTCTTCATAAAAGAACTCATAGCTTTCCTGAATTATTATGTCTGTTTAAACCCCCTTAAAATCTTACGCTTGTTAAAAAGAGACAAACAGGTACTAAACCAGTAAATCCCCTGAAGCATTCTGAAATCCATATTAAATACAGTAGGAGCAGAGTAGCTATGGCTTGCTGTAAAATTAACTCTTAGATAATTAGCAAGGACAGCTGATGTCTTGCAGTTGCAAACAATTCACTTCCTGGGCTACACATTAATGTAATTTGAATGAAATGCATAATAAAGGCCTGTTTGGTACTTGTTGACATTCAGATTAATTCAGAAGATAATGAGGGAAATATCCTTTTCTCCTGGAAGACAGCTGTATACTTCCTAACTATAAGAAGTTGAAAAAACCTTCTTTTTAATCCAGGGCCGCTGACCTTTGTCATCAGTCAGAATGTATTGCAGTTATATTTAGCAGGCTTGTGTGCAGTTGTTTTTAAAAGGAAGATAGGAAATTTCTAAGCTTCCTAAGCTGTGCTAGGAAGCTACACTGGTGTGTCCCTCTCCAAAGCTGGAGTTGGCTATGGTTTAGTTATATTGAGATTTAATACAGTATGCACCAGGGGAGGTTTAGATTGGATATTGGGACACATTTCTTCACTGAGAGGGTTCTCAGACATTGTAACAGACTTCCCAGGGAAGTGCTGGAATCATCGTCCCTGGAAGTGTTCGAAAACCATGTTGATGAGGCCCTCAGTGACATGATTTAATGGTGGTCTTGGCAGTCCTGAGGTAGCGGTTGGACTTGCTGATCTTAAAGGTCTTTTCCAGCATATCTTATTCTATATAGAATTATAAAATCAGCTATGATTCTATAATGTGCGATCGAGTTCTTTCATTCTACTATTTGTAGCTTTTTTAAACCTGATCTGCGGGACTGAAAAACAAACCCAGTATTTGTGTGATTTAATACAGTAAGACAAAGTATCCAGGGTGTATATGTTTGGTTAGGACAGCAAAAACGTTAAGGGCAAGTGTGGTTTTCAGATAATTCACTGATGATGTAAAATTCAGAAATACTTGTGATTTCTGCATTTGGGAGTTTCATGCCATTGTTTCCTAGTAGCAAACTATGAAAACAGTAACCTTTACATTTTAAAGCTTGTCACACATCCCACACCTTTTGCTTCTCTCTCCATTTAGTGTTTGGGTTTTTTTTTTCAATGAGATTCTATCTCAGTTAATCTCACTTTCTCTGTTTGTATTTTTAAGTTGTATTTTATGTGGTCTGAATATGACCGTCAGTATCTGAGCCAGTAAGTAATATTACCAGGTGTCAGGGTCATGCAGCAGATACCTGTGGTTATTTGTTCTTGGTTTTCCTTTTTTTTTTCTTTTTTTTGTTGCTTTTGTTTTTAATGGCTTTTCCATCCTCTCCTTCGAGATCAGCCTCAAAGACTCGGCAAGAGACTGAATTTAACTTGGCTAAGGTGGTGCAATCCTCCGTTTCACTCTTTGTCTGCTACAAATCCTGGACTTTTCTGGGCCAGTCACTTCTTTAGCCAGAGACCACTTCTGTCTGCTTTATCATACTGTTTTCACTCCCTCTTGGGAGTGAATGTGAACCATGCCATCCAGCTTCTCTAGTGATTTATCCACATACAATTTGCATGCCTTCTTTTGCACCTGTATATCCTTTACAAGGCAGTTACCTATCCAGCAGGCAGGGAGTGCAGCCTGGCAGCAATTGTCAGCCTCAGATAACTGCACTTCTGTTAATGAACAAAACCTTGTCCAGAGTTTTATTTTCAGAAAATGGTAATAATATTTATGATCCATAATCCAATCTGTTTCAGGCAGATATTTATAAACCTTGTAGCTAGCCTGCCAGATATGACTTTTATGGAAGAATTTGTACTCACATTACTTATCATTGTTACTTAGTCTGACGCTTGAGTAAGGGTGGGGCAGATGTGGAAAAGGAATCCAGCTTTCTTGCAGCAGTGCGACAAACTGAGAGTGCTCAAGTTAAAACTAAGGATTCTGAGGAGGTCAGAAATTGTGAAATAGCTGACTGATGAGATGGTTGAAGGACACAAGAAAATGAGATGACTTTATAGTTTCTAGTATGACCGAGTTCTGGTAACAAATAGGAAAATTAGCTGAAGTAGTAAGGATAAAGAATTTTTTGAATAAGCGCAATGTTTTTATATTGATTTTTCTTTCTGTGTGAATTAAATTTGCTGCTTTAATCCAAAGCAATCTGTCAAGGATCTTCTATAAGTCAAAAGGCAGATAATCAAATTTCTAAATGTCACCTATATTTGCCGTCTACATTTCCAGAGAAGTGTGGTCAGACTTTCCTGTTGTCACTTCTTTCAAGCCTATCACCTAAATTTGTCTGTATGGAATCCATAAAACAGCAGCTGCTTGCATTTTGGGGTGAAAAAAAATGAGAAAGCAATAATAACTCTGAGTATTTAGCATAGGGGCAACAAAGCAGATTAATTTAACAGGTTTCCTTATGCAACAGTGTTGCGAATACTAGAATCTTCACATACCCCAAAATCATATTAATACAGCCTTAATTAAAATTAATACTACTGAAGCATCACTTGAATAAATACAATGGATCTAATTTCTGTACAATAATTTCTGGTTCTGGAAACCAG